TCCTTTGTTGCCTTGGCCGTGTGTTTTGGGTCATTGTCATGCTGGAATAACCATCCACGACCCATTTTCAATGCCCTGGCTGAGGGAAGGAGGTTCTCACCCAAGATTTGACGGTATATGGCGGCGTCCATCGTTTCCTTTGATGCAGTGAAGTTGTCCTGTCCCCTTAGCAGAAAAACACCCTCAAAGCATAATGTTTCCACCTCCATGTTTGACGGTGGGGATGGTGTTCTTGGGGTCATAGGCAGCATTCCTCCTCCTCCAAACACGGCGAGTTGAGTTGATGCCAAAGAGCTCGATTTTGGTCTCATCTGACCACAACCCAGTTCTCCTCTGAATCATTCAGATGTTCATTGGCAAACTTCAGACGGGCCTGTATACAGTGGGGGAAAAAAGTATTTAGTCAGCCACCAATTGTGCAAGTTCTCCCACTTAAAAAGATGAGAGAGGCCTGTAATTTTCATCATAGGTACACGTCAACTAAGACAGACAAAATGAGAAAAAAAATCCAGAAAATCACATTGTAGGATTTTTAATGAATTTACTGATTTAATGAACTGATAACAAGTTCAAACAGGTGCCATTAAATCAGGTAACGAGTGGAGGACAGAGGAGCCTCTTAAAGAAGAAGTTACAGGTCTGTGAGAGCCAGAAATCTTGCTTGTTTGTAGGTGACCAAATAAATTCATAAAAAATCCTACAATGTGATTTTCTGGAGAAAAAAATTCTCAATTTGTCTGTCATAGTTGACGTGTACCTATGATGAAAATTACAGGCCTCTCTCATCTTTTTAAGTGGGAGAACTTGCACAATTGGTGGCTGACTAAATACTTTCTTTCCCCACTGTATGTTGCCATCTGTTTCCATTGGAAGGCTACTACTTGTGTAGTAAGGCACAGGAACAGGACAAACACTGTGGAAGAGAGCACTCAAGTTCGTCCCCAACACAACCCATATTTGACCCGTAACAATTTATCATCAAAATGCTATTGGTCCTAAAAAGACCATGAATATTACTACTAAAGTCACCTACACCACCCATGTTATCTTCACTGTAAGATCAAACAATATTGTGCAATGTTTTGTCTTAGAGTCTGCAGATTACATCTTTACTGAGTGTCTCCCATACATACATTCCTCTCAAGCAAAACACAGTGTTAAAAAGAAACGTTCAGTTCTCACCACCACAGAGTTCCATGTCAAATAGCTGTGTAGATCTGGTCAAAGGGGTGTTTGATGATGAGATTTCCAAAAGTTTAAGGGTGCAAGGGTCTTTGCTTATAAATGTGCTGGTTGAGATAAAGATCGTCCAATATGCTTTCTTTCCTTTCCTCTTTCTTTCGAAAATGAATATCGAAATTGCTTTATTGTCATCTTTAGTTACAGTGGGGAGAACAAGTATTTGATACACTGCCGATTTTGCAGGTTTTCCTACTTACAAAGCATGTAGAGGTCTGTAATTTTTATCATAGGTACACTTCAACTGTGAGAGAAGGAATCTAAAACAAAAATCCAGAAAATCACATTGTATGATTTTTAAGTAATTAATTTGCATTTTATTGCATGACATAAGTATTTGATACATCAGAAAAGCAGAACTTAATATTTGGTACAGAAACCTTTGTTTGCAATTACAGAGATCATATGTTTCCTGTAGGTCTTGACCAGGTTTGCACACACTGCAGCAGGGATTTTGGCCCACTCCTCCATTCAGACCTTCTCCAGATCCTTCAGGTTTCGGGGCTGTCGCTGGGCAATACAGACTTTCAGCTCCCTCCAAAGATTTTCTATTGGGTTCAGGTCTGGAGACTAGCTAGGCCACTCCAGGACCTTGAGATGCTTCTTACGGAGCCACTCCTTAGTTGCCCTGGCTGTGTGTTTTGGGTCGTTGTCATGCTGGAAGACCCAGCCACGACCCATCTTCAATGCTCTTACTGAGGGAAGGAGGTTGTTGGCCAAGATCTCACGATACATGGCCCCATCCAACCTCCCCTCAATACGGTGCAGTCGTCCTGTCCCCTTTGCAGAAAAGCATCCCCAAAGAATGATGTTTCCACCTCCATGCTTCACAGTTGGGATGGTGTTCTTGGGGTTGTACTCATCCTTCTTCTTCCTCCAAACACGGCGAGTGGAGTTTAGACCAAAAAGCTCTATTTTTGTCTCATCATACCACATGACCTTCTCCCATTCCTCCTCTGGATCATCCAGATGGTCATTGGCAAACTTCAGACGGGCCTGGACATGCGCTGGCTTGAGCAGGGGGACCTTGCGTGCGCTGCAGGATTTTAATCCATGACGGCCTAGTGTGTTACTAATGGTTTTCTTTGAGACTGTGGTCCCAGCTCTCTTCAGGTCATTGACCAGGTCCTGCCGTGTAGTTCTGGGCTGATCCCTCACCTTCCTCATGATCATTGATGCCCCATGAGGTGAGATCTTGCATGGAGCCCCAGACCGAGGATGATTGACCGTCATCTTGAACTTCTTCCATTTTCTAATAATTGCGCCAACAGTTGTTGCCTTCTCACCAAGCTGCTTGCCTATTGTCCTGTAGCCCATCCCAGCCTTGTGTAGGTCTACAATTTTATCCCTGATGTCCTTACACAGCTCTCTGGTCTTGGCCATTGTGGAGAGGTTGGAGTCTGTTTGATTGAGTGTGTGGACAGGTGTCTTTTATACAGGTATCGAGTTCAAACAGGTGCAGTTAATACAGGTAATGAGTGGAGAACAGGAGGGCTTCTTAAAGAAAAACTAACAGGTCTGTGAGAGCCGGAATTCTTACTGGTTGGTAGGTGATCAAATACTTATGTCATGCAATAAAATGCAAATTAATTAATTAAAAATCATACAATGTGATTTTCTGGATTTTTGTTTTAGATTCCGTCTCTCACAGTTGAAGTGTACCTATGATAAAAAGTATAGACCTCTACATGCTTTGTAAGTAGGAAAACCTGCAATATCGGCAGTGTATCAAATACTTGTTCTCCCCACTGTATTGTGTGAGTAATCACTACTCCCATTGAGAGTAAATGACGTGTCATTTGGTCAACTCGAGTGTCAGATATTCGGACTTCCCTGACTATTCACCAGATATTGGGGATAGATATTGAGGCTGTCCTGATTCAAAATGTAGGCAAAGGCCTTCATATGTCTAATGACATAGCATATATGGCACAGGCTTTCTTGGGTTCTGAAAACTCAAAAAACCTCACACACAGATCAGTAAATATGGGTTATTATGAATAATTATGAATAATTTGATAAGGGCAAAGGTTGAGTGATCGTTTATGGAATATACATTACCAGTCAAAGTTTGGACACACCTACTCATTCAAGGGTTTTTCTTTATTTTTACTATTTTCTACATTGCTGCGCACTTCACCATACACGTCAACTTCCCTGATTACACGGTAGTTCCCCAGGCGCAGCTGGGACCTTTATGGACAGGTAGTTAGCTAATAGTCTATGTATCACATTGGTTCCCATATCCATTCCATTGCCCATCAAAACATCTGAAGTGTTTTACGCATTGCTGCTGTATTGCCGAATAAACCATTTATTCTGTGATTTACCCTCCTGCGCCTGACTCCGTCCAAATCACCCGCTACAGAATATGAGAAATAGAAGGCATGTTAGAATAAAACCGCCCACAGAAAAAGTGTAATGTGAGATGTAATTGCTTATTCTGTAAAAAAAAAATCCCTCAAGGTTTAATTTCCCATTAGTCACAAGTCCAAGTGATAATATTAACACGGAACATCAGAAAGTATTCAGTGCCTTCAGAAAGTATTCACACCCCTTTACTTTTTATACATTTTGTTGTGTTACAGCCTGAATTTAAAATGGATAAAATTGAGATTTTGTGTCACAGTTACAGAGTTTAATGGCTGTGATAGGAGATAACTGAGGATGGATCAACAACATTGTAGTTACTCCACAATACTGACACAGTGAAAAGAAGGAAGCCTGTACACAATACAAATATTCCAAAACAGGCATCCTGTTTGCAATAAGGCAATTAAGTAATACTGCAAAGAAATTCAGGACAAAACTTTTTGGATAAAAATAAATGGAATATAGCTAAGCACAGGCAAAATCCTAGAGGAAAACTTGGTTAGGTCTGCTTTCCAACAGACACTGGGAGACAAATTCACCTTTCAGCAGGACAATAACCTAAAACACAAGGCCAAATGTACACTGGAGTTGCTTACCAAGATGACATTTAATGTTCCTGAGTGGCCTAGTTACAGTTTTGACTTAAATCGGCTTGAAAATCAATGGCAAGACTTGAAAATGTCTGTCTAGCAATGATTAACAACCAACTTTAAGAATTCTTTGAAGAATAATGGGCAAATATTATACAATCCAGGTGTGCAAAGCTCTAAGAGACTTACCCAGAAAGACTCACAGCTGTAATCGCTGTCAAAGGTGATTCTAACATGACTCAGGTGGTTGAATACTTGTCTAATCAAGATATATTAGTGTTTTATTTTCCATTAATTAAAACAAATGTTTTGACTTTTCTTCCACTTTGACATTACGGAGTATTTTGTTTAGATTGTTGACAAGAAAAGTACGAATAAATCCATTTTAATCTTACTTTGTAACACAACAAAATGTGGAAAAAGTCAAGGGGTGTGAATACTTTCTGAAGGCATTGTTCCTATCTTTAGACCATCTGTGTGCCTGCCAAAGGAACTTAATTGAAGAGTTCAGCCCATGTACCTTCCCACTACAGGAAAGTGGTGTAATGTAGATCCCTGGTATGTGTTCTGTCAACTGTTGCCAGGCAAACATTCCGAAAGGCTCCAGAGCCAAATGCAGCCGCTCAATTGTAAACAGGCAACAGGACCTTGAGAAACCAAGAAAAACAAAGCCTTAATTCTACCCAAAACATGAAGTAAATTAGTTTGATCCTGTGGCTCTCACACCATTTCATGGGATTGACTTTCCCTTTAATGGGTCTGTAATTTTTTCTCTATCTACAACCCTAATCCTTTAGTATGAGCTCTCGGACACTTTCTTTGGCTGTGGAGGAGCAGCTTCGTAGCCTCTGTCTGAAGGACTTTCCATGTGGGCATGGCTGTTGGGTGAGTCCACAAGCCATTTATGTATGAAGCTTTTTTGGCAACACATCAGATCAGGTTGGTGGAAAAGAGGGCAGACAAACTTGTGTGATTTACTCAAAGATCCCAAAGTCTCAATGTAATGTAATGGATGGTGCCAGAGCCATATATATACACAGTACATGGCTCTTGATGGTGCCATCCAGTGAGCAAGCTCACCTCTTGATGGTGTCCTACTCTTTTCATGTACAAAGTATTGGATATGAATGAGATGGTCCAAAATACCATTGATAAATAGAAATGGAATGCTTTTTACCTCATAACGGCATGTTCCTGTGCTGTTGTGTTTAGAGCAAATCCAGAGGGAATATCTTTGAGGAACAGAGTTGGGGCTACATCGAGCAGGACGAGGGGAGAGAAGGTGCAGCCAAGGAAGAGCAGGAGGCCCTTATGGAGCACTTGACCAGTCCACTGTCCCCATGGCGACATGAGGAGTCATGGAGCCCCCAAGCCCTGACCCTGACAGAGCTGTCCGTGCGAACACCTGAACTTCTCCATGGCAACTTCATATTCAGCCACTTCAACACCCTACGTATTGTGGACAAGGGTGTGAGTATATTAGCTGTCTGATACCCAATGCTCACAAGCCTTAATGCATTTGTTGAGCAATCCTTTGGCTCCAGTTTATATTACCAGCCTTTATATTCCTGTCCTACTGAAATAAACAATTCATCCAACATTTTATTTTGTACAGTAATCAGCAATTATAGTAAGACGTGCCATCACTTTGAGCAGGACAGGAGCAAGGTTGATTGCATATGAAAACCATGTGTGATGAAAGCATTATTTGATAAGTCCCAGCAGTGTAGTCTCGCATTTTCAGGAAAAGACCAGCTATATTGAGGAAGACCCTCCCCCATATTTTGAATGTGAATTCATACTGTCAGTGAATGGGTCTGTTTGTGTGCATCAGGTCTCCATCGTCGATGATGGCTTGCTCAGGTTCTCCAGTCTAAGAGAGTTAGTGCTGAGTGCCAACAAAATGTCTGAACTGCAAGCAGAATACCTGCCCTGCACTTTACAAGTGAGTCACACAACACAGGGAGAGGAGGGGCTGTGGCACATCAACCCATGTCTCATTGAATCCCACCACAGGGGCACTCAGATAGAGCGCCATTCGTCTGCACTGAACTGTAGTAGGAGGAGTGATTATGTGGAGTTAGGGTTGAGCCGGAGTGTGGACATGAAGCTAGGGTGGGTTAGGGTTGAGCTGGGGTGTGGACATGAAGCAAGGATGAGTTAAGGTTAGGGTTAAGGTTGAGCCGGAGTGTGGACATTAAGCTAGGGTGGGTTAGGGTTGAGCTGGGGTGTGGACATGAAGCTAGGGTGGGTTAGGGTTGAGCTGGGGTGTGGACATGAAGCAAGGATGAGTTAAGGTTAGGGTTAAGGTTGAGCCGGAGTGTGGACATGAAGCTAGGGTTGGGGCTTGAGTTAGGGTTAGGGTTAGGGTTGAGCCGGGGTGTGGACATGAAGTTAGGGTAAGGAGTAGGGTTAGGGTCAGGGTTAGGGTTATAGCTAGGGTTAGGGTTCAACTGCGGTGTGGACATGAAGCTAGGGTTATGGATTGATCAAATTGATTAGAAAATTCACAGATATTGGTGTGATGTATCACTAAAAACATTAAAACAAGTAGGCCTTATTACTTTTTATATTATTTATGACATTGTTAGGGTCACTTTTTCAATCTTTTAGCTCAGAAGACAGCAAGCAGTAAGTTTAAAATCATTGGGATGTTTGAACACTGATGCATATAGTGATAGTCTTTGATATCACTGCACAGTCCTTCAAATAAATGCATTATATGCGTTTGTTTGAAAGGTGTTGGAGCTCTACGCCAACCAGGTTTCCAGCCTTAAAGGTCTATGCAGCCAGCCTCTACCCTGCCTTCAGCACCTGGGTCTGGGCTGCAACAGGCAGGGTTCCCCCGCAGACATCCAGTACCTCACTGGAACTCTATGGTAAGTGCTCACACACAGGGCAAGTGACAAGCAGTACAATTTCAATACTCATCTGCACTTGCTCACAATCACCAACAGATGACAACAGACTCTAGCAATAATAGGAAGGGACCATTGGAAGGGACATAATTCATTACATTCCTTAGCAGTCATTTGAATAATAATAATAACTTCATTTGTATAGTGCTTTTCAGTTCAAGTAACAAAGTTATGCACATCATAAAATAATAAAATAAAAGTACTAACAAAATTAACCTTTGTGGGTGAAACAGAAGATCTAAAAAATACATGTCTTATTAGGGGCACAACATATCATAGTTACTCAAATACTATTTTCATATAAAATATGAACAACTAGCTATAATGTATATTTATTTCGTTGCTATACCATCTATTCCCCATATGAGAAAAATACTTTTTGTCTAACTTTTTTACCATGGCTGTTCAGGTTGTTTGTGTGGTCAATCAAACATCATTATAACTGATGAAAGGGCAGATCCCATACATACAGAGGCAGTTCAACAGCTTCCTCTCACCAGTTGTCAGCTCAGCCCTTGCATTCTGTCTCCCTCTTCAGGCCACGGCTGGTATCTCTGGACCTGAGCTGGTCTGGCTTCCAGGGACAGCAGGCCCTAGTGGATGCCCTGGCCACCCTGCCTTGCCTGAGGACCTTGGTGCTGGAGGGCAACCCCCTTACCTTCACCCCGTCCTACCCAGGCTTCATCCTGGATAGCCTACCGCGGCTGCTCTACCTGGGCGCCACACGGGTCACACCGGATGATCACCATCGCTTTGGAGGCCTGGCCAAGATGAGAGGTGAAGTTATCAATCACCACACTATCACCATTGTCTTACATTATATAGTGTGACGACTACATCTGCACTGATCGGTTGTGTAGGAGTGACTCCACCTGACATAAGAATGCACTAATCACACAAGATAGTTGATCTGATTGTACATCATATTCTCCAGGCATGAATCAGCACCCAATACCTGTTCAATGATGTGGACACATACTGTATTTTCCTATTGAAGGAGCCTGCCTTACAGTGATTCTTGACAGAATATTCTGTTCATTGAACCAGTTCTTCTCTTCCTGTTTAGCTCAGGCATTTCCCAGCAGTTGCTTGTGTTCTCATCACTGTGTTATGTCTGTGCATTTCATTATCAATGAGAGCCAAGTTACCCAAGTACCCTAGCCATAGAATAGGGGTCATCAACTAGATTTAGCCGATCACATACAGTGCCTTCAGAAAGTATTCATACCCCTTGACTTATTCCACATTTTGTTGTGTTACAGCCTGAATTCAAAAGAGATTACAGCCTGAGATTACACACAATACCCCATAATGACAAAGTGAAAACATGTTTTTAGACATTTTAGAAAATGTATTGAAAATTAAATACATAAATATCTAATTTATATAGGTATTCACACCCCTGAGTCAATATATGTTAGTCAATACATGTTAGAATCACCTTTGGCAGCAATTACAGCTGTTAGTCTTCTTGGGTAAATCCCGAAGAGATTTGAACAACTGGATTGAACAATATTCACACATTATTCTTAAAAAAATTATTCAAGCTCTGTCAAGTTGGTTGTTGATCATTGCTAGACAGCCATTTTCAAGTCTTGCCATAGATTTTCAAGCCGATTTAAGTCAAAACTGTAGCTGGGACACTCAGGAACATTCAATATCATCTTGATAAGCAACTCCAGTGTATATTTGGCCTTGTGATTTAGGTTATTGTCCTGCTGAAATGTGTATTTGTCTCCCAGTGTCTGTTGGAAAGCAGACTGAACAAGGTTTTCCTCTAGGATTTTGCCTGTGCTTAGCTCTATTCTGTTTTTTTTTATCCTAAAAAACTCCCTTGTCCTTGCCGATGACAAGCATACCCATAACATGATGCAGCCACCACCGTGCCTGAAAATATGAAGAGTGGTACTCAGTGATGTGTTGTGTTGGATTTGCCCTAGGACATAAAGTGAATTTCTTTGGCAATTTTTTTGCAGTTTTACCTTTGTGCCTTATTGCAAACAGGATTCATGTTTTGGAATATTTTTATTCTGTACAGGCTTCCTTCTTTTCACTCTGTCATTTTGGTTAGTATTGTGGAGTAACTCAAATGTTGTTAATCCATTCTCAGTTTTCTCATATCACACCCATTAAAATCGGTAACTGCTTTAAAGTCACCATTGGCCTCATGGTGAAATCCTTGGACGGTTTCCTTCTTCTCCGGCAACTGAGTTAGGAAGGACGCCTGTATCTTTGTACAACGTGTAATTAATAACTTCACCATGCTCAAACGGTTATTCAATGTCTGCTTTTACATTTTTTTACCATCTACCAATAGGTGCCCTTCTTTGCGAGGTATTGCAAAACCCCCCTGGTTTTTGTTGATGAATCTGTGTTTGAAATTCACTGCTTGACTGAGGGACCTTACAGATAACTGTATGTGTGGAGTACAGAGATGAGGTAGTCCATCAAAAATCATGTTAAACACTATTATTGCACACATAGTGAGTCCATGCAACTTATTATGTGACTTGTTAAGCACATTTTTACTCTTAAACCTATTTAGACTTGCCATAACAAAGGGGTTGAATACTTATTGACTCAAGACATTTCAGCTTTGTAAAAACATAATTCCACTTTGACATTATGGGATATTGTGTGTAAGCTAGTGACATAAAATCTCAATTTAATCCATTTTAAATTCAAGCTGTTAACACAACAAAATGTGGAAAAAGTCAAGGGGTGTGAATACTTTCTGAAGGCACTGTATATCATTATGCATGTGGGAATACTTTGGACCAAATTGAAATCACTTGGAGCTGATTTGCTGGTGTTTTTTGTCCAACAAGTAAAATAATAGAACTTGGGGGGCCAAATAAAATCACCTTGGGAAAATGTTTCAGCCTGCTTTTGAAGAGTAAGAAGAGTAAGATAGTTATGTTCCATCCACAGACCGGATAGTGGACCAGGCCATGGCAACAGTGACAGTGCGTAGGATCAGGGGTGTCCCGGACCCACTGCTGACTGTGGATGAGAGTTCACCTGAGTTCCCTGTGGTCAGCTACAGCTACTTTGTCAACTATGAGTTCCTCCGCCAACCACCCTCTGGCAACAAGGCATGATATCCGATTTTTCTCTTTAGTCATTCATCTTAATTGATTGTTATATGACAATCTAGTTGTTGATTGGTCACAGCAGGCTGGCAGTGACACTGCATCCACATCTGATCCAATGGCACCCATAGCGGAGAAGACGGATGGGGGCATCGTTGGTATCTATCAGACACCAAAAGAGAACTGTGAAGAGGAAACAACCAACACTCCAATACCAGACACCACAGCCAGGACAATGGAGAGTTTGGGAATTAACCATTGTTCCATTGATGGTAATCAACTTTCAGTGCCTTCAGAAAGTATTCATACCCCTTGACTTATTCCACATTTTGTTGTTACAGCCTGAATTCAAAATGAATTAAATAAATAAAAAATCTCACCCAACCTCACACAATACCCCATATTGACAAAGTGAAAACAAATGTATTGAAAATGAAATTGAGAAATATCTCATTTTTATAAGTATTCACACCCCTTTGCTATGACACTCCAAATTAAGCTCAGGTGCATCCAATTTCCTTTGATCATCCTTGAGATGTCACTACAACTTGATTGGAGTCCACCTTTGGCCAATTCAATTATTTGGACATGATTTAGAAAGAAACACACCTGTCTATATAAGGTCCCACAGTTGACAGTGCATGTCAGAGCAGAAACTATACCATGAAGTCCAAGGAACTGTCCGTAGAGCGCCAAGCAGTGGAGGCTCCTCAGGAAGGGGAGGACCATCCTCCTCAGTGAATTTCATAAAAATAAAAATGGTAAAACATTGAAAAAGTTATCATTTTTAGATAAAACTATACTAAATATATTCATGTCACCAAATAATTGATTAAAACACACTGTTTTACAATGAAGGTCTACAGTAGTGTGATGGGGGATTTGATGGAGTCCGGCGCAGGAGGGTAAATCACAGAATACAGAGTTTATTCCGGAATACAGAATTACACAGAAATGCGTCAAACAGTCCAGTGCGCAAAACAGGCGCACTGGAACCAAACAGGCACACAGGGAAAATGTACCCCTCCCACTCCACGAGGTACTGAAGGTATTCATAATGCCCCGTGGTTGTGCTGAATGCTGTCTTCCACTCATCCCCCTATCGGACACGCACCAGGTTGTACGCACTCTGGAGATCTAATTTTGTGAAGAAGCGCGCCCCATGCATTGACTCGATCACTGAAGGAATGAGGGGGAGAGGATAACTAAATCATATCGTCCCCTTGTTCAGTGATCGGTAATCAATGCAAGGGCGCAGACCGCACAACCACGGGGCATTATGAATACGTTCAGTACCTCGTGGAGTGGGAGGGGTACGGTCCGGAGGATATCCTCGATCCCTCCCTGTTGCGGGATTTCCACCGTCGCCATCCGGCTCGCCCTGCTCCGCGTCCTCCTGGCCGTCCCTGAGGCCGGTGTCGGCGCGCTGCTGGATCTGCGCGTCAAGTGCTCTGATGGGGAGTGGAATGGATAGGGGAACCAATGTAATGCCAAGACTGTGTGAAAATGACCTGTCCATAAAGTTCCTAGCTGCGCCTGAATCGACCAGTGCCTTACACTGGGGAACTACAATGTAATCAGGAAAGTGGATGAGTAAGGTACAGTGCGCACTGGGGTGACGCGAGAGTGCCCTGCCTGCCACTTCCAGATCCAATAGAACGCTGACGACATCGTGTAGTGAAATGTCCTCTTGTGCCACCAGAGTGACTCTGGCGCTGTCGTCCTCCGCTCTCCCGGATCGCCGCTCCACCCAGCTCCATCAGTTTGTGATCCGCGTTGGGCGGGGTTGGAATGGGCAGGCCCCAAACAGGCACACGGGGAAAATATACCCCGGCAATACAAAATACACGGAGCTCAACCGAGCTACACTCTCCTCACAATAAACAATCACCCACAAGGACAAGGGGGCAGAGGGAACACTTATACACGTACTAATGAGGGGATATGAACCAGGTGTGTGTAATAAACAAGACAAAACAAATGGAATGATGAGATGAGGAGTGGCAGTGGCTAGAAGGCCGGTGACGACGAACGCCAAAGCCTGCCCGAACCAGGAGAAAAGGCAGCTTCGGAGGAAGTCGTGACAAGTAGCCTCAACAGCACTCTGTAGGGTAGCACCATGGTGTAGCCGGAGGACAGCTAGCTTCCGTCCTTCTCTTGGTACATTTACTTTAATACAAAACCTAGGAGGCTCTTGGTTCTCACCCCCTTCCATAGACTTACACAGTAATTATGACAACTTCCGGAGGACGTCCTCCAACATATCAGAGCTCTTGCAGCATTAACTGACATGTTGTCCACCCAATCAAAGGTTCAGAGAATGAATTGACCCCAAGCATACTTCCAAAGTTGTGGCAAAATGGCTTAAGGACAACTAAGTCAAGGTATTGGAGTGGCCATCACAAAGCCCTGACCTCAATCCTATAGAAAATGTGTGGGCAGAACTGAAAAAGTGTGAGCGAGCAAGGAGGCCTACAAACCTGACTCAGTTACACCAGCTCTGTCAGGAGGAATGGCCCAAATTTCGCCCTATTTATTGTGGGAAGCTTGTGGAAGACTACCCGAAACATTTGACCCAAGTTAAACAATTTAAAGGCAATGATACCAAATACTAATTGAGTGTATGTAAACTTCTGACCCATTGGGAATGTGATGAAATAAATAAAAGCTGAAATAAATCATTCTCTCTACTATTATTCTGACATTTCACATTCTTAAAATAAAGTGGTGAACCTAACTGACCTAAGACAGGGAATTTTTACTAGGATTAAATGTCAGGAATTGTGAAAAACTGAGTTTAAATGTATTTGGCTAAGGTGTATGTAAACCTCCGACTTCAACTGTATATCTGGGGAAGGGTATAAAACAATTTCTAGAGTGTTGAAAGTTTCCAAGAACACAGTGGTCTCCATCATTGGGAAACTGAAAAAATATAGAACTACCCAGACTCTGCCTAGAGCTGGCCTTCTGACCAAACTGAGCAACCGGGCAATAAGGACCTTGGTCAGGGAGGTGACCAAGAACCCGCTGAGACAGGAGAAGGACAACAGTCTCTACGGCACTTCACCAATCTGGGCCAGATGGAAGCCACTCCTGAGAAAAAGGCACATGACAGCACGCCTGGAGTTTTGCAAAAAGGTACGTGAAAGACTCTGAGATCATAAGGAAAACGATTCTGTGGTCTGATGAGACAAACATTCAACTCTTTGGCTTGAATGCAAAGTGCTATGTCTGGAGAAAACCAGGCATAGCTCATCACCCGTCAAACACTATCCCTACTGGGATGCATGGTGGTGGCAGCATCATGCTATGGGGATGCTTTTCAGCGGCAGGGACTGGGAGACTGGTAAGGGATAGAGCAAACAATGAATGGAGCCTAATACAGGTAAATTCTTGATGAGAAGCTGCTTCAGAGTGCAAACGACCTTACACTGGGGTGAAGATTTACATTCCAACAGGACAATGACCCCAAGCATACAGCCAAAGCCATGCTGGAATTGCTTCAGAGCAACAATGTGAAAGTTCTTGAGTGGCCCAGACTTGAATCCCATTGTAAATCTGTGGAAAGACTTGATGATTGCTGTCCACCTAACTTAACAGAGCTTGAGAAAATCTGCAAGTAAAAATGGGAAAAATCTCCAAATCCATATGTGCAAAGCTGATAAAGACATACCCAAGATGACTCAAAACTGTAATCTCTCTCGCTGAACCCTCATTGCCCCCATTCTGCAGTGATGATGAACAGCACACATAAACTGGCATGGGCAGAGTATATGGACTATAACCACACAAGTGTGCATAGTGTTGGTGAGCTGGGGTCCTTCAGGTCCTTCATCCTTCGTGGGCTCTGGTTGACTGTGGAGGAGGAGAAGGTACAGAACAAAGCAGACGCTCCGCACCATGCAAACAAAGACGGTTTACATACTCACAAATCTACATACTGAATACTCTAGATGTAAGGATTGCGTCAAACAATTTACTTACCTTTGTATACCTCCTTGTCTGTATACCTGCAGACACAGACACAAAAGTGAGCAGTTCAGTCATCTGCACCCAAGCAGATGACTGAACTGTAATCTCTTGTGGACAGATTCAGGAAGTGACAAACTTTCGCGAGAATTTTACTTCTGGGTAACCGAGATTACACAATTTAACAGTCCTTATATTCTGGTGATGGAAAAGTTCTCAACAATGTAATTTTTTCAGAGGGGCTTACAGTTTCACTTAACAGCTGAAAAACCTGTTCCTTTTGGGTGGCACACTCTAAAATGTAGGGGTTCAACAAGGGTTCTTCTAAGATCCTCAAAGTTGGAGGTGGGGATCATCGAGGAACCTCTTTAGTTGGTGGGGGTTCTTGCAGGAACCTTACTGCTCAACTAAAACATTTGGATTTGAAAGGGCAGCAGGTGCAGGCATTTAACTGAAAAATGTAAAGATCTCCTCAATTTAAGGTAAGGTTTGTCCCATTGATATTGTTTTATGGTGATACCATCTATCATTTAATATTTGTTCAAATCTTTCTAAAACAGAAAATGGACACAATTCAATGGATATCAATCAACAAAGAGGTAAGAATATACAGTGGGGGAAAAAAGTATTTAGTCAGCCACCAATTGTGCAAGTTCTCCCACTTAAAAAGATTAGAGAGGCCTGTCATTTTCATCATAGGTACACGTCAACTATGACAGACAAATAGAGAATTTTTTTCTCCAGAAAATCACATTGTGGGATTTTTAATGAATTTATTTGCAAATTATGGTGGAAAATAAGTATTTGGTCATCTACAAACAAGCCAGATTTCTGGCTCTCACAAACCTGTAACAACTTCTTTAAGAGGCTCCTCTGTCCTCCACTCGTTACCTGTATTAATGGCACCTGTTTGAACTTGTTATCAGTATAAAAGACACCTGTCCACAACCTCAAACAGTCACACTCCAAACTCCACTATGGCCAAGACCAAAGAGCTGTCAAAGGACACCAGAAACAAAATTGTAGACCTGCACCAGGCTGGGAAGACTGAATCTGCAATAGGTAAGCAGCTTGGTTTGAAGAAATCAACTGTGGGAGTAATTATTAGGAAATGGAAGACATACAAGACCACTGATAATCTCCCTCGATCTGGGGCTCCACGCAAGATCTCACCCCGTGGGGTCAAAATGATCACAAGAATGGTGAGCAAAAATC